TATGTATGTATGTGTATGTATATATAATATGTATTTATATATGTATATAGTATATATTTGTATATATATAGTATATATTTATACGTGTATATAGTATATGTTTATATGTGTATATAGTGTAATATATATATATATATATATATATATATATATATATATATATATATATTTATATATATATATTGTACACATACACACATAAATACATATTATACACTTACACATATAAGTATATATTATACATATAAAGATATAATTAAATATTGTAGAGATACAGATATAAATATACATTATATACATACATAAATATAAATGATATACAATATATATATATATATATATATATATATATATATATATATATATATATATATATATATTGTATATCATTTATATTTATGTATGTATATAATGTATATTTATATCTGTATCTCTACAATATTTAATTATATCTTTATATGTATAATATATACTTATATTTGTAAGTGTATAATATGTATTTATATGTGTATGTGTACAATATATATTTATATATGCATGTGTATATATTCATGTATGTATGTGCATAATATACTTTATATGTATATGTATAATATATATTTATATATGTATGTGTATCATATATATATTTATATTTATGTGCATTGGCTACATAATACAGATTTTTACCGGGTTAGAAAGCTTGATATGTTAACAAACTTGAAAATTAGAATCCGTAGGAAAATAACTGACGTGTAAAGCTCCCGGGTTCGGGCACTAAGAACGGCTGGAAGACAGGCAGGTCGTCTTTTCATCCAGTCATTAGGATGAAAGCAAAAAAATACTTAGGGATTGTGATTCGATATGTGTCAGGTGAAGCTTCAGTGCTCTTCACGGGATTCATTCAGCTTGGTATCCCGACTACCGAAACAGACAACACCAGTCGAGATATAAAGTTTTCAAACTATGATAGAGAACCTTCAACACTCGTCGCGAACGTAACATTGTGACTGGTCATCTGTTTTAGACGTAACCTTCAGAAACGTTCAGACTAAACAGAGCGATAGATTGGACACTGCTGGTGACCGCCTCTGGTTTCGTTGTCTCGTGCTTTACTTGATTCGTCAACTTTTTTTATTTTATTTTGTATTTTTATATTATGTTCATGTTTATTTTTGTAATCGTGTGCATGCTGACTAAGGCAGGTGTGCGGGTAGGCGGTGCACAGCTGCAATACGATCATCAAACTGCTAACCTGTTTACTGCCTTTTGTGATTTACAACTTTTTTTCTCACGTTATCGCTACTCTCTCTCTCTCTCTCTCTCTCTCTCTCTCTCTCTCTCTCTCTCTCTCTCTCTCTCTCTCTCTCTCTCTCTCTCTCTCTCTCTCCCTCCCTCCCTCCCCTCTCCCTCCCCTCTCCCTCTCCCTCTCCCTCTCCCTCTCCCTTCTGTCTCTTGATTTTCCATCTATTAGTCCAAAAGAAATCTTATTTGTGACTCTATTGTGGCATGTGTATTTATTAATTTATTTGTGCATGCTTGTATCCATGTACACTTAATGCACGCACACGCACACACGCGCGCACATGTTCATGTATGTATTTGACCATGCATGCATTCACGTAGACATTTACGTACACGAGTGCGTGTGCGTGCGCGTGCGTGTGTGTGTGTGCGTGCGTGCGTGCATGCGTGCGCGCGCGCGTGTGTGCATGCGTTTCTGTCGCCCGCTTACAAAGCCTTGGAATGTCACAAGTGAAGAGATCCGTGTGGTTGTTCTGTGCTGAGACGTGTGACGCAAGGTTAAACAAACTTCCGTTTTACTGAACTCTGTCGAATGATAGTTTTACCCCTAGTGTGTTAGAATTTCCTCTCGAGTTGCGGCGTCGTCACCACCGTCTTCAATCACTCACCGTAATTATCATCATCATAACAACACAACAACAATATTTATAGTCGCCATCACTGTATCTGGCATAGTCATCATTCGACTAACGCATTTTTACAATTGTTTGTAATTTCTTTACTTCAGATTTAAAGTTTTATATAAGTCACAAGAGATTATTAAAACGGTTTTCAAAAGTTACAAGCGATTATTATACAAAATTACAAGTATCGGTATTATTGTGTAGAAGGTAATAATTGATCGTATTTGCATGAAACACCTCTCTAATGTTATAAGGCGCATCAGGACGTGGCGCGGGGTGGTGGGCGTGGCTTGGTCAAAAAGGGAGTGTCCCCACCATACACGTGGCAGGGGGTTTGATGACCTCTCGCCATCTCTCGCGCCCGAGGAACCGCTACGTGGGAGGAAGGAAGACGGGACCTTTGCTGCCAAACGCTCCGACGTAACTGCTCGTACGGTTTGAGGATATGGCTGAGAGATCGTTCTGGCGTTCGGTACTTCTCTGTTGGCGACTTAGGATGGATAGTTTCTTGAAGGGCTGTGTGTAGATGCCGGTGTTATAGTATATATGGGTTGGTGGTTTCAGTGGCAAGGTGTGCCCTCTCCCTCCCTCTCTCTCTCTCTCTCTGTCTCTGTCTCTCCATCTCTCCATATCTCTCTCTCTCTCTATCTCTCTCTCTCTCTGTCTCTGTCTCTCCATCTCTCAATCTCTCTCTCTCTCATCTCTCTCTCTCTCCATCTCTCAATATCTCTCTCTCCATCTCTCAATATCTCTCTCTCTCTGTCTCTGTCTCTCCATCTCTCCATATCTCTCTCTCTCTGTCCTCTCCATATCTCTCTCTCTCTCTGTCTCTGTCTCTCCATCTCTCCATATCTCTCTCTCTCTCTGTCTCTCCATATCTCTCTCTCTCTGTCCTCTCCATATCTCTCTCTCTCTCATCTCTCAATATCTCTCTCTCTCTCTCTGTCTCTGTCTCTCCATCTCTCAATATCTCTCTCTCCATCTCTCAATATCTCTCTCTCCATCTCTCATATCTCTCTCTCTCTGTCTCTGTCTCTCCATCTCTCCATATCTCTCTCTCTCTCATCTCTCAATATCTCTCTCTCCATCTCTCAATCTCTCTCTCTCTCATCTCTCAATATCTCTCTCTCCATCTCTCAATATCTCTCTCTCCATCTCTCATATCTCTCTCTCTCTCATCTCTCAATATCTCTCTCTCTCTGTCTCTCCATATCTCTCTCTCTCTCATCTCTCAATATCTCTCTCTCCATCTCTCAATATCTCTCTCTCCATCTCTCAATATCTCTCTCTCCATCTCTCAATATCTCTCTCTCCATCTCTCAATATCTCTCTCTCTCTCTCTCATCTCTCAATATCTCTCTCTCTCTGTCTCTGTCTCTCCATATCTCTCTCTCTCTGTCTCTGTCTCTCCATATCTCTCTCTCTCTGTCTCTGTCTCTCCATCTCTCAATATCTCTCTCTCCATCTCTCAATATCTCTCTCTCCATCTCTCAATATCTCTCTCTCCATCTCTCAATATCTCTCTCTCCATCTCTCAATATCTCTCTCTCCATCTCTCAATATCTCTCTCTCCATCTCTCATATCTCTCTCTCTCTCCATCTCTCAATATCTCTCTCTCTCTCTGTCTCTGTCTCTCCATATCTCTCTCTCTCTGTCTCTGTCTCTCCATATCTCTCTCTCTCTGTCTCTGTCTCTCCATCTCTCATATCTCTCTCTCTCTGTCTCTGTCTCTCCATCTCTCCATATCTCTCTCTCTCTGTCTCTCCATCTCTCCATATCTCTCTCTCTCTGTCTCTGTCTCTCCATATCTCTCTCTCTCTCTGTCTCTGTCTCTCCATCTCTCCATATCTCTCTCTCTCTCCATCTCTCAATATCTCTCTCTCTCTCCATCTCTCAATATCTCTCTCTCTCTGTCTCTGTCTCTCCATATCTCTCTCTCTCTCCATCTCTCAATATCTCTCTCTCTCTCATCTCTCAATATCTCTCTCTCCATCTCTCAATCTCTCTCTCTCTCTGTCTCTGTCTCTCCATATCTCTCTCTCTCTCATCTCTCAATATCTCTCTCTCTCTCATCTCTCTCTCTCTCATCTCTCAATATCTCTCTCTCTCTCTCTCCATCTCTCATATCTCTCTCTCTTCTCTCTCTCTCTCTCCATCTCTCAATATCTCTCTCTCCATCTCTCAATATCTCTCTCTCCATCTCTCAATATCTCTCTCTCCATCTCTCAATATCTCTCTCTCCATCTCTCATATCTCTCTCTCTCTCTGTCTCTGTCTCTCCATATCTCTCTCTCTCTGTCTCTGTCTCTCCATCTCTCCATATCTCTCTCTCTCTCATCTCTCAATATCTCTCTCTCCATCTCTCAATATCTCTCTCTCCATCTCTCAATATCTCTCTCTCCATCTCTCAATATCTCTCTCTCCATCTCTCAATATCTCTCTCTCCATCTCTCAATATCTCTCTCTCCATCTCTCAATATCTCTCTCTCCATCTCTCATATCTCTCTCTCTCTGTCTCTGTCTCTCCATCTCTCAATATCTCTCTCTCCATCTCTCAATATCTCTCTCTCCATCTCTCAATATCTCTCTCTCCATCTCTCAATATCTCTCTCTCCATCTCTCATATCTCTCTCTCTCCTCTCTCTCTCTGTCTCTCCATCTCTCCATATCTCTCTCTCTCTCATCTCTCAATATCTCTCTCTCCATCTCTCAATATCTCTCTCTCCATCTCTCAATATCTCTCTCTCCATCTCTCAATATCTCTCTCTCCATCTCTCAATATCTCTCTCTCCATCTCTCATATCTCTCTCTCTCTCATCTCTCAATATCTCTCTCTCCATCTCTCATATCTCTCTCTCTCTCTGTCTCTGTCTCTCCATCTCTCCATATCTCTCCTCTCTCTCTCTCTCCATCTCTCAATATCTCTCTCTCTCTGTCTCTGTCTCTCCATCTCTCCATATCTCTCTCTCTCTGTCTCTCCATATCTCTCTCTCTCTGTCTCTGTCTCTCCATCTCTCCATATCTCTCTCTCTCTCATCTCTCAATATCTCTCTCTCCATCTCTCATATCTCTCTCTCTCTCCATCTCTCAAT